ATTCTGCTATATTGTACAAACATGATTGGTTAAAAAGCGTCCTGTTTTAATAATAATTCTGTAATCCTATAAAAACTCTGACCTGACAATCATCAGGGGGGCTTCTACTCCCGAGATAGACAGCCTGGCAGGTCGAAAATTAAAATTTACCTTGCTACTTTTCTTAAAGTGGTGTTGGTGATTTTTTTATGAACTCCATCCTATAACATTTGGAGGTCCCACTGAGATCTGGAGGACTTCTGGGCCCTGCAGTTTCGGGAAACTCCCTGAGAAGGGAGCTGCCTGGCAGTATTCTGAGGACTCCCCAGCAGGGGACCTGCATCAGCCTCGGCTGTGGGGCAGTACCAGCAAATTCCCTGAGAGGGGACTTGCATCAGTTCCGGCTGCTTCTGCCTCCCCAGTCAGCCCTCTGGTTTCTCCCTCCACACCACCAGCAAGGTAAGAGAGTGCTCGAGAAACCACTTTCGTTTTGGTTTCTCTTTTGATTTTGGCTAGTTGGTGACTTTCGCCATCTGGTTCTGGGCTCTGATCAGAGAAACTAGGTGGGAAGCTGGATGCAGCGAATCTCCCCGTAGTTGGGTTCCGGAGGAGACATCCCTGGATCCACCTGGCCGTGAGCTCAAAAGCTTGTCTTTTGGGACCTGGATTTGGCGGCAATCTGGTAGATGTTATTTGTCTGTGCTTGTCTTGTTCTGAGTTTTGGTCTTGTGTCTGTGTTCATCAGGGGTGGGCGTGTGTCTCAGGGTGCTAGCCCGTTAGTATGTTGAACAACTTACCTGATTTCAGGTCATGTTTTGGATGCACCTAGTTTTAATGAAATTATGTCATGTTATGTCTCCTGTGCTGAGATCGCAAGTAATTCTGTCATGTATGTCTATGATTATTGTCTTCATATGTTTCCATCAAAAACCCTAAATATTTTTATTTTGTTGGTTGAGCTGGTTGTTTAAGGTCCTTATTTATTGCATACCTTTCGGTTTGGGTTTGCTTTCATAATATCTCTTTGCTTTGCTCGCTTTGGAAGTTATTTTGGGTTTGACATTCTTGATCTGGTTTATATTCCTTTCAGACCTCTAAAGACTTGAAAATGGTTTAAGAAAATTATACTGTTGGTTACCTGTTGGTTATACATTAGATTTAATATGTTAACTCATCTTCATTGCTGGAGATGAATTCTGGGACTGGTCTCCCTGTCTCATCCTTTCAGCTTTGTCCTTTTCCCTCTGTTTCCTGCAGCACTGCTCGGTATGCAGGCAGATACGGTCTGTTTGGGGAGGGACGCTTTTCGTCCTTGGAAACTCTGCTGGCTCAGATATGACTCGGCTTTTCTCCCTTGGAACAAGAAAAATCAGTCTTGGTTTTAAAACTGGTTTGACATGACATTATGTCTAACCATAGTATTTATTATATGAGACCGTTATAAATGTATAGACTTACATTTAATACTAAGAGAACTATTATTAAATAATTTACTAGATATCAAATTCTAAGTAAAACATCTCTAAACTTTTAAAGGAGACTTGGTTGTTTAAAACCTGCTTCAAGGCTTACAAGGGCATCTCAAAGTTTATACAGTATAATAATATATTTAGATTAATTGTTCATATATATATGAGGTAAAATATTAATTACTTGGTAAATTTGTTTATAAATGTTATTAAAAGAATTTATTAAAGTCTAAACAGGGTTGTAACACAGTTTTCCTTAAATGACTATGCTGGGGGTTGTGTACCAGTTGCTTCTCTTTACCTTGTGTTTCTATGCCTTACAGAAGGTCATCACAGTTGGATTTGTTGACTGTCATATTCTTTAATTAAAGGAGATATAGGCAGGGTCATTGGACCCTTACCTGAGTATCCAGCCACTCTTCCCAGCCAACTGCATGTAGTTTGGTCCTAATCACATATGGTCTCCTGGGTTTGGGAAGGACTAAAGTATATTATCTGGGAAAGGCTAGGAAAGGCTTTCCAATGTAAATACTCTCAGGTCACCTATACACCTCAGGAACTCCTCAGTCATCTCTGTAAGTAAGCTCAGTAAATTCATTGGTTCCCCAGGAAAGCCTTAG